ATTGAAAGTCTGTCCTACACCTATGTACCTACGCTGGCTTAGGGATAGATTAATCTTTCTTTCATGACCTCATGCCTGAAGGCTGTTCCCAGAGGCCCTGTGTTGGAATCTAGCTCCAAGCTGAGAGAGGCCAGGGCTTTATGAAGAGGCAACTTATAGGTGCTGTAGGTGACAATCCCACCTCCAAGCCCCCCATAGTTCCCACCCTCAGTGCTGCCTAGGGCCTAAGGCATGGCTGCCCAGGGCCAGGACTTGCCTTAGGTGCAAAATTTAAGGGAGATGGTAAAGAAATTCAGAAATCAAAATAAATACTATTTCAACCCAATCTTCTTTCCTTCTTTCTGTCGTCAGTACTGTAGACTGAAGCTGGGCCTTTGCACTGAGCTATATTTCCATTTTTAAAAAAAATTATTTCAGCCAGGCGTTGTGGCTCACACCTGTAATCCCAGCACTTGGGAGGCTGAGGCAGGAGGACTGCTGCGAGTTCAAGACCAGCCTACGCTGCAAAATGAGCTCAACCTCATCCTGAACTGTATAATGAGACCCTGTCTCAAAAAGACAAAAAAAAAAAAAATTATTTCGAGACAAGTTCTTGCTAGGTTGCTAAGGTACCAGGCTGGGCTTTGAACTTGCAATCCTTCTGCCTCAGCCTCCCAAGTACTGGAATTATAAGCATATGCCACCACACTTGGCTTTAATGTAGTCTTTCAAAAAATTAATGATAAAATTTTCATGATGAACAACACCAAATGGTCAAGTGTGGATAAAATCAATAAGAGTGCCAGGTGGAATCACACTGGAGCCTGAGGCCTAGGGAAAAATTGGTGATGCTGATGAGATGCCAGAACCCAGAGGCCATCCATCTCCACTGTGCCTGCTTTGCATTCCAAACTTACAGACTTCCCCGAGCCCTCCAGAGCTCCACCCTCCACTCCTGCAGTCCCCCATCGCATCCCATCACCTATTTGGTACTTTTCAGTCCAGATCTGACCATAGTCCTGACGGTAAGAAGAGCCTCTGTGTCTTCCATCACTCTTTTTCTCTTGGGAGTCCTGTTGCACTACACCTGCTGAGTTTTTTCTCCCGGTCCAGACCCTCTTCTTTGGTTCTAAGGTCACTCTCAAGGTGACATTTGGATTGCACAGGAAGTGCCTTCCATTTGAGCTCCATTTATTTGTGCCTTCCATTGGTGCCAGGGGCTGAGCCTCGGGCAATGTGTGTACCAGGCATGTGCTTTGCTAACTAGCTGTTTTCCCAGCCCCTAATTTATATTTTAAAGTGATTGTTGTGGCTGCAGTGGCAGAGCAGATACCAGGGACCAGAATAGGGCCAAAAAGATAAAATTATGTTGGGTTAGGATAAGATGGTCACTGTGGCACAGAGAAAGGAAGTGGAGACAGTCTAGCAGACCTGGCAGGGTTGGGATGGACTGGGAAGGGGAGAAAGAAGGCAATCTGGTTTTATAGCTTTTATCTGAGCAACTAGGTTGATGAGTACTTTTTATTGAGATAAAGAAAAATAGGAGGAATTAGAGACTTTGGGGAAAAATTAGTTCTGTTGTGGCAATAAATTTGAATGATCTATTAGATATCCACCCAGTGACAGCAAGGAAAATGAGGGCGAGGGATACAGATTTGCCTGTATCTATATGTATATCTATCTATAGATGGCATTTAAAACATGACACCAGAGCTAGGAACGTTGGCGCGCACCTGTAATCCCAGCACTCGGGAGGCTGAGGCAGGAGGATTGCCATGAGATCAAGGCTGGCCTGAATTACAGAACAAGACTCTGTCTTTTTTTTTTTTTTTTCACAAAGAATTACATTTCTAAAGGCTCTGTCTTAAAAAAACAACCAACTAAGCAACAATAACAACAAAGCAAAAACTAGACAAGATCACTCAAGGAGAATGTAGATAGAGATGAGAAGCAGGCTGGCCTGACAGTGTGCTAGAGAAACAGGAGAAGCAGGGGGCAGTGGGAAGGCTGGAAAAAGGGCACCACGGAAGTCACTGAAGTGGGACCCCCAGCTGGGTCAAAAGTCAAGGAGGTCAAGGAGGAAGAAAGCGGAAAAAAGAGCACAGGAAGGGAGGCTGGGGTGCAGGAGAGGCCTTGCCCCTGAAGAATGTCATTAATTTTGTCTTTCTGGACAGGCTATCGATGAAACCCAGGGGTTCTTCTTCAAGATGGAGATACAGGCATTTCTGCACATCAGTGCCCACGATCCACCGCAGTCAGGGAGAAGCTACCTGCAGGAATGCAACCCTTGCGGGAATGCCACAGGGACACTGAGCTCATGGGAAGGAGTGACACGGCGGTCACGCGCCTGGCAGATCTGGGTCGGGAGGCAGTCTTTGATGTAAGAGGAGGGCAGACCGTCAGGGGTCCCTGTGTCACCCACACTCACTGTGCTGTGAATTCCTGGCGCCTCCGCCTCTCTGCCGCTGGCTGCTGACTTTCCCAATCCGCGCCTGAGAAGCCCCGACCCTTCAGCATGGGAAGTACAGGACGCCTTCTTTCTTCCTAAGGTTACTTTTCCCCTTCTCCAGACTCAAGGGTGCTCACATGCACACTAGCGCGCCCAGCAGCTGACATAGTTGCGGGCACACCACAGGTACTAAATGTGTATTCGTTCAAAGAACAAAACAAAGCCATCCCGCCCTTCAAGGTCAGCCACTCGCCTGTGTACTCTGACTCCGAATCATGCTACCCAGACTCTCGGGATGCAGATTTCTTTTCTCTGCTACCATCATCCTAGGGGCTTCCCTGGGTTTTGCAATTTGGTGACTTCAAGCCCTGAGAAATCTGGGTCCTTTTCGGCCACCTGCAGTTAAGACCCCTCTAGGACCCGGACGAGTCTGGAAACAGCCCGCATCGGCTAACGTCAGCTAGGGGAACCTGCTCCCCCTAGTGGACAACGCACACACACGCACCCTCGCTTTCTGAGTTGCATGAAGACCATTTCACACCTAACAGACCTTTCTTTCTTAAGTACTTGTGATGAGTCTGGAACACACCAGACTATTTTGGGGTGCACAGTTTCCTTGTTATCATACGAGTTGACGTCCAACCGGAAAGCTGTGCTAGTGCTGCATGCTTCCGCCTGCCTCTGCCACAACATTGGTCACTAGTGAGGAGAGGCAGGGCCAAGGCTGGAAGAGGCAGGCCAACTGACTCCAGAGATCAGCAGCATGCCACGGATCTGTGCGACAAACAGCTACGGAGCACCAGGGTGCTCTAGGCCCTGAGGTGCGTAGGGGAGGGATCCAGAAGTCACTCTTTAGGGTCAAGTGAGTCCGTGCCTGGTCAGGCAAGGGCTCTCTGCCACAGCTCTGCTTTGGGCCTGGACTTCCCGCAGGCACCTCCTCCAGAGCTGCTCCAGCTGTCATCAATACGTTTCCAACCAGCATACTTATCAGATGACACAAACAGTGACAGTATGACACTCAGTTCCAACACTGCCCCCAACCATGCACTTCAGGGTGGGCATCATTCCCCAACCTCATCTTTACTTACTTTTTGGTACCAGGGATCAAACTCACGACCTCAAGCTTGCCAGACAAGTGCTTGTGCTACTACGTTAAATCCCCAAACCCCCAACCACATTTTTTCTTCCCTGAATCAGGGTCTCAGTATGCAATTTAGACTGGACTTGAACTTGCTATGTAGTTTTGGCTGACCTTGACCTTGAGATTCTCCTGCCTCAGTCTTCTTAGTGCCAATCACTGCATCCATCCTTTGTACTTCCCCATTTCCACACCTTCATTTCTACTACTGCTCTTTGCAGAACGCCCTCTTCTCCTTTCTACCTTCCAAAGCCTTCTCTTTCTCCAAGCCTCAGTTCAAATGCCACTTTCTCTGGAGAACCCTTGTATGACCCTTCTTGTTGAAAACAGAAACTCCAGTTGGGTAATCCCAGAACTCAGAGAGGGTGAGGCAGGAGGATCAAAGTGATTTCAAGGTCAGGCTGAATTACATAGTAACACTTTGTCTTAAATAAATAAGTAAATAAATAGAAAGAAAAAATCCTAGAATTTCCTTTCTCTGAAACACTATAGAGAGAAAGAAGGAAACACTATCCTTTAATCCCTGCATGTACTGTATATTGAAAGCATAAGCTTCAAGTAGGAGAGATCTGGTTTGAACACAGTTGGCTGTGTAACCTTGGGAAGTAAAATTCACCTCTCTGTGTATCAACGTTTCCTTTTTTTTTTTCTTTTTATCCCTATCGGGGATCGAACTCATGGCCGCCTGCTTGCAAGGCAGATGCTTATGCCGCTTAGCTAAATCCCCAGCCTCATCAGTGTTTCATTTTGAAAAACACATGCACATAAAAATCTATTTTTACCATTCATTCATTCATTCATTCATTCTAACTTCTGAAAACCAAGATTTGTACTTTTTTTTTTTTTTGTCTTTTTTAGACAGGGTCTCGCTATGCAGCTCATGCTGGCCTTGAGCTCACTTTGTAGCCCTGGTAGGTCTCAAATCTGCAATGATCCTCGTGCCTCAGCTTCCTGAGTGCTGGGATTACAGGTAAACACCACCATGCCTGGCTCTCATGGTTAGTTTTGAGAATTAAACGAAATGATATGTGGAAAGTGGCTGACACATAGGGGCACTCAACAATGAAAATTCGATACTATCACTAACCACTTTAGTTTCTTGGAAGCAGGGCTTCACCCATCCTAAGCAAGAACTTTGCTGCCAAGTTACATAACCAGCGTAGTGAAGGTGACTTCCACTCCAAGGGAAGCCCCACCTGAGACTAGGACCTAGGCCAGCTCTGTTGTGAAGCACCATGGGGCTGAGCTGAATGTGATGCTCACGATGTGATGGTCATTTTCTGAACAGCTTGCTGACTGCTACTGAACCTGCCTCTTCCATCTTTCAAGGTTGTCCAGGGCCCTCAACAGCATGGCTCTTTGTGGCTAGCAGATGACTTCTGGGAGCTCACCTGTCACTTCCTGAACCTTCTGTGACCCACAGGAAGCCCCTACCTTCATACTGGACTTCCAGGTGCATTGTGGCCAGCACCTCCAGCACACAGTCCACAATGCGGGGGTGCGTGGTTCTGATGATCAACTGCCAAGACAGACAAGAGGACAAGGCAGTTACTCTTCACATCTGACATTCCTGGAGGAAATTAAACTGGTACTTCCAAACAGCCAGGGGCCAGGATAAGTGGGGGCCAGGTGACTCGTTGGGCCAGGCCCTCCCCCCCATGTCACCACTGAAGCCTTTAGCTCCGACAGGTGAAGTTGAGAACCAGCAGCCACTTGCTAGAGCTTTGGGAACAAAATCTGTGACCATAGCTGCGAGAGAAAGGTCACAGGTCAGCACCAGTGGGACTCATCTAGACCCCTAAAATTTTCTTTCTCAGGAACCTTGCCTGTTTGTCAACCTTTCATCCCAGCCCTTCAAACTTTACTCAGCTACTGTGCCCGGCATACAGGAGGCACTTAGGGTGAACCAGAACACTGTACCCATGATGGTCAGATCTTTGTGGCTGCTCCTGCCTCCCTGGCTCATTGCTTGGTTCCTGGAGTTGTCCCTTTCCCTATTCTCTGACTTGGAGCATTCAAGAAATTTTATTTATTTCTGTTTCAGTTATCACCGCTCTGCTTACAAAGTTCACACTGACATCTATTTCTAGGGCCTTTCTCTGGAGCTTAGGGCTTTTATTTTCTACTGCCCATGGGCAGACTGACTTTTACTTTTTTTTTGTGGTTGGTACTAGGGATTGAACCTAGGGCCTTGACACTGTGTCTCGCTAATCACCAAGTGGCTTTCGAACAGTCTGTCTCGGCCTTCCAGAGTTCTGGAATCACAAGTTTGTGCCACCATGCTCAGCTTTTCTGTCTTCCTGTAGTGGTATTCAACTCACCCTGCTGCTAATCCCAAGGCTGGGTGTCAATTTTGACTTATTTACTGCCCTTCGCCCCAGACCCTCCACCTCAGAAATGTCTATCCAGCTAGGTTGCTTTGATTCCCACTGCCACTGCCACTGCTCAGGCCACATCTGTGTCACTTCTCACTGCCTCCCTGCCTTGGCCCATCTGGAGATATTTTGAGAGATATTTTGAGACATTTTGAGATATTTTGGTCCACCTCCTTCTAGGCACGCCATCCTTCTGAGGTCACCACGTCTTAACTCTGACTCCACTCACTTTCTAGGGCACCGAGAGGGAAAGAAGCCAACAAGAAAAAAAGGAGCTTTTTTTCTAAGCAGTGGAGACCTGGCCTCTTCACCTACAAGCTGGCTACAAATGTACCACAATTCTCCCCCTATCAAATTGACACCTTAATGTTTTTTACAGTCTTCTCATCATCCATGTTTGTCTCACCCACTTTGAGGTCTGCCAACATCTTTCTGATCCTTAGGTAAACAGGACAAATCACTCTGCTGGGAGACAGGAACACTCTGCCCCGTCTTGGCCTTGTGGGAGTGACTCTGATGGAACGGCAGGCAGACATGCACAGGGGGCGGCTGCACGGCTTCTTTCTGAGAGCAGTGCAGCTGTTTATGAGACTACCAAGTTGCATCAGCATATTCCCTGCTCACCTGGGCAGTCCTGAGAGTCTGGAGGGCCAGCTGCTGAGCTTTTGGGGAGGCACAGGGCAGCAGAGCTATCAGACCTTTGTACACTTGATTCTGGTACTTGGGGTTACCATGGACCAGCGAATCCAGGAGAATCTGCACTTCTTCCTGGGTCTCTTCTGACTTAGACTTTGCCAAAAACTCTGCTATAGATCGTACACCTGAGGAGAGAAGAGAAAATGCTAAATTGGAAGGGATTTAGGAAAATGATTTCCTACTAAAGATTACATAATGTAAAGAGAATTTGATTATTTTCAACCAATGGAGGTAAAAATCGAGGCTCAGTTTTTATCATTGTCTTGTTTACCCCTAGCTGTGTGATTCAAGGATTTTGCTTTAGCACAGGCATGTCAGGGTCTATGTTTTAAAATTTAAGATGGCACCGAGCATGGTGGCACATGCTTGTAATCCCATCACTCACCAGGAGTTCAAGGCCAACCTGAATGCCACGATGAAACCTTGTCTCACAAAACAAAACAAAAGCAAAAGGCTCTGCAAAACATACACATAAAACATGCATATTTACTACTAGATAGGAAGAGTGCTTAGCAGTTTACAAAATGTTTTTGCCAAACATTACTTCATTTAATCCTAGAAACTAGTGAGAGGAATATGTTCATCCTATTTTGTGAATAAAGTCACTGAGGTTCAGAGAAGCTGTGGAGGGGACCGAAAGGGAGAAAGTAGGCCCCTCTGGGGAGCTCAGGGCAGAAGTTCTACGGAGCGTGGCTACAGGGTGATGACCTCTTCCTTATCTTCCTCCGACTGGGCACTTGATTACTTCAATTCCACGGCCATCATCTTTTTCACTAGATTGTAAGCTCTTTGAGAACAGGGGCTGTATTTTATTCATCTTTGTATCCTTAGCACCTTTACATATGCCTAGCACACAGTAGGTACTCAATTTTATTTCTAGAGTTAGTCACAACTCAGTCTCACACAGGATTTTACCTTTTTTTTTTTCCTGGTACGGGGGATTGAACTCATGATCTTACACTTGCCAGGCAGGCACTTATGCTGCTGAGCTAAATACCCTGCTCCCCACACAGGATTTTAAGCAAGAGTTAATAAACTAGTTGTTGAACAGATGTGTGGAAAAAGTTATATTTAACACAGAGAAGTATTTCTCAAACCATCATTGAAAGACTTGAACAAATAATCAATCAGGGAAATCATAAATCTGGTTTTCTGGTGGTGGTGGGAAGAGAAACTCATTGAGTCCACTGTACAGAATGCTTCCTGCACAACCAGTTCTACATGGTTTTTATTCCCCTCAGGAGTGGTGGGTGCTACTATGAATCTACCCATGGAGACATGGAGTCTCATACCCAGTACCCACCATAGCTTTCACAAATGAGTTCCTTGTACTTCCTGCCAGAGTTTGCAACAACCTGCAGAAGCTTGATGGATTCCTTTTTGTCCTCTTCCTTGATCTCCTCTAGCCCAAGTATTTCCAGGAGTGTTAGGACACCTCCAACCTCAAGAAATTCGATCAGGTACCGATTACTGTCAAGGGCGGGGTGGGGTGGGAAAGAGGTGAAATAAACTTATCAAATTTCTTCACACAAACCCTTCTAAGACGTCCCAAGGTCCTTTCTTCATATACATTGCCGCTTATCCAGGAAATGTTTATAAATAATGTGATACAATACTTTGGAAATTCTTTCCAGTGAGAAATGCTGGAGTTAAACACTGAACATTTCTTGCTTTTGGCTTTCTAGCGTCTCTCACCTGCATTACTGGCACTCAGTTGTCACTTGTGGAATCACTGCTGCCCCCACTCGTGGGCCTGTGATTCCGGCTGGGTGAGTGAGTGACAGGGTATGTTATCCTGACTCTGCAACTCAACTTGGTGCCAGGTGTGAGGTGGAAAGTCAGGATGTTCTTGGGACCCCTGGGAAAGATTTGGCCTGTGGTCAGGGCGGCTGAGGTGTAAGGATGTGTATCTGGAGCATCAGGGGACCCCAGAACACGTTGGCTCTGAGTACAGATCAGAAAAAACTGATGAAGCAGGAAAAGAGAAAGGGAGAGAACAAGAACTAATGACCTTGTTTGGGCCCCTGGATCTAGTCAGGCCTGAAATACGTGTTTCTACTTTCTGGACTTTTGAGTGAAAGAGGCCGTCTGTACATTTGCTTCCCGAGTCCAGCCTGAGCTGCATTCCCATAATTCACAACCAAGAGGATGCGACTGGTAAAGAGCCAAAGCGGAGCTCGTGGAGGAAGTATGACTGGGTGTGGCCCTCCCAAGTTAGTGGGCACCTGCTGATACCTAGAATCCAGGGTGCTGTGTGAATGCCAAGGACACCACACATGTGATATGCCATGATGTCCCCAGAATCTAAGTGCAGGGGAACAGCTCATGGGTAGAGCGTTTGACTGCGAATCTGAGTGGAACTTACCTGCTCACAGCTGATAAGAAGATGCCAATGGATCTCAGGAGCTTTTCTAAGCTTGAGCCAGTCATGTAGCTGCAGAGCATGTTAAAGAGTACATTTCAGGGTGGTTTTCACGCAAAACCTAGATCCTGTGTCCGATTCCAGGGTGACCAGGCAGCTGAATCACACTCTTTATACAGAAAGAAGACCCGGCTGAAGGAGAAAGGTACTTAGGTGGGGATAACAGGGGTGCTGGCTTATTTCCTGTTCTCTGGGAAGTTTCCCTGCAGCAAGGAGGCTTGAAAGGAGGCAGAAGAAAGCTGAGGGTCAGTTTCCCAAACCTCTCTAGGCCATGACCGTCACACCCTTGGGTCTCAGCATAGTTTATTACTTCTCTAAAAAGAATTAACTTCACTGTTAATTCTCAATTTCATATTTGCTCAAAGTTTTACACTGGAGGTCACTATTCTTATGAAGAAGTGCATGGCTTCCTAATAAGAATAACAAGAGATGGTGGGAAAATTAAACCCTGATTTAAAACGACCTCAGTATTTAATGTTATTTTTTAATGTGAGCCTTTGCAAAAAGCCTCATTGTAATAAAGCACCCAGAGCATGCCGCAGCTCAGATACAAGGTATGAAATCAAGCCACAACAGAAAGGGAACCAGTCAACAATTACTAGGCTCATAACACATCACAAGCTCTTAGAACACTTAAAAAATTAGCTGAAATTATTGCAGCTCATGGAGGATGACTGAGAGCTTCCAAGACTGATAATGGCTAATGTAATGGCTTGGATATAATGCTGTTTTGTTGGGGGGAGTGTGGGGTGTGAGGCAAATTATCTCTGCTGCACCCTTGTTCCCAGGATGCCAATAGAAGGAGAGACAAATTGGCTCATTAGGAAAGGCTCTTTACTGCAAAATCAGTGTTTGCTCTGGAGCCAGGCTCCCTTTGCTTGTTGCTGCTGTGGTGGGGGACCAGGGGCTCAGCCCCCAGGGACTATCTCTATTCCTAGACTGTCACTACCCTGCACCCCCAAAGTCCTACCCTGCATCCCCAAACTGCTCCCATCCTTGCCTCAGTGGATTCTCTCCCTTCCTTCAGTTACCAGCCAGGTTGACCAACATTTGTCACCTTTTTTTTCCTCTGCTCAGGTTACTCTTGTTTGCATAGCTATACGCCTTACATATTTCTGGTCTATTATTTCCAGCAATTAGCTCTAGAAGGTTGCCGCAGTATCAGTAGAAGCTAACAAATACCAGTTTTTACTACCGGCCAGGCACTGGTTTGCTCACTACAGCCCTCTAGTGGGTTCTGCTAGTATCTGCATTTACTCCAGGAGTTAATCGAGGCAACCAAAGGCTTAAGGGAGGCAACAAAGGACTAAGAGCTGTGATTTGAACCCCAAGCCTACTCAGCCTGAGTGCCTGCCTTCCTGCTGTGGCCAAAGCGAGGGGATGGGGCTCTGTAGCTGTTTATGTGATGAACCGCCCCACCCCCGGGGGGTGGCTGCTGGGGAGCTGGGGGCCTGCATTGCCCACTACAGTGCAGGGCATGGGTTTTGGGCCAGACAGACCCATTTCAAGGCTTGTCACTGTTATTTACTGGGAATTACTTAACCTTCCAAAGCTTATCTTTTTTCTCTATAAAATGGGATAAACAGTGACCACCTACAGGCTGAGCATGTAGCTCAAATGACAGAAACCAGTACCTAGAACATAAAGACTCACTAAGTGCCAATTAATGGTGTCATAATATATAAACCTTTAGTTACCGATCTATTCTGGAAGACTGACCAAAGGGTCTAGGCTTATGGGATAGTTCTGCAAGAGATAATAATGCCACATGGATTTGTTTTCTTCTAAAATGGACCATACCTGGAGGATGGGGAGGAGAAATAGAATCTCTAATTCAAAACATTATCGTCTGGGCACAGTAGTGATCCCAGCACTCTGGGAGGCTGAGGCAGAAGGATTGAAAGATCGAGCCCAGCCTGGACAATTTGTGACTTAGTGAGACCCTGTCTCAAAAAAAAAAAAAAAAAAAAAAAAAAAATTGAACAAGGGCTGGGGGCATAGCTCAGTGAAAAGGTCCTGGATTCAATCCCAGCATTACACACGCATATACATACAGACACACACACACACTTCAAACCAAAACAATAAAACACACTATCATTCCCACTGGTCTAATTTTTTTTTCTGTTGTAGAAGAGGGTCACAAAAAGGGAATTATGAGAAATTCTACGTGTAGAAATTAAATTTTCTACTGTATATGAAGAGCCTGGTTCAGTGTCTGCTGAATGTTAGGCACTGAAGCTGGCACTTGAAACAGAGAGAAGAACATGAAGCCTTGCCTGACAGGAGCAGTGACCAGGAAAAGAAGTGAGCTTCCTGAAGAAGTAGTGTTTAAACTGACACCTGATGGCTGAGTGTGGTGGTGCACACGTGTAATCCCAGCATTTTGGAAGTCCAGTCTGGGCAGTTAGCAACTCGGTGAGATTCTGTTTGAAAAAAAAAGCCTAATAAAGGACTAGAGTATAATGAAGGGGCTTACAGAACAGGAGAGGATTCAGGCAGGGAAAAAAGTATGAAGGGTGTGCACTGAATCCATGAAGTACCACAGGCACACCGAGAAAGAACACCCTCATCTAACCCTAGAGAAATGCTACCTCAAGGGTGACAAAGTATGCTTTCAGTTGTTTTTGCCTCCAGGAATCCTGAGCACAAACACCTCAAACCCAGCACGCCTGACACCAACCTCAGCTACACCTGAACTTCGTTCTTTCCTCTGTTCACCAGTTTCTCAAGTTGGAAGTATGAGAGTCATCCTGTGGCAGTGTGTGGTCACAGCTGCTTCCATGTCCTGAAATGATTCAAAATGTTTACCGTTCTTGGTCATTCTGACTTTGGGGAAGAGCCAGAAATCTCATGGTGCCACCTCAGATGAGGACACATCATGATGCTTTCTTTACCAGCCTGCCTCTCCATCAGGTGCCACTTCGCAGCAGTATTCTCCATACTATTGGTCACGGTTTGTGAAGGTACTCATGAAACAGGATTTCCAGAACTGTTTCAAAAGTGGCAAGAACAATGGGATAAATGTGCACAAAGCCAAGGCAAGTGTTTTGAGGGAGATGAATGGCAATGTGTTTTTTACTATAAAAATTAAAAAACACTACAAGAATCAAGATGTATCATATATAGGTATAAATTCCCTATGATGAATGTGATCATTATGCAAACCTAAAAAGTACCAATAGATTTAACTTAAAAAATAATCTTAAAATATTAAAATGTTCACTATATATTGTGATCGTATCTTGGATGCAGAGGTCAGATTCCAGAGAGAAATTGGGAGACTCCATCAACTGGTGTGGCGTGGGCATCCTGACAATAGATTTAACTACTCATGGAGAATCTGGGAGCAGAGAAGAGGATACGGATCTCAAGGAACATCAACATCTAAGCCAAGACAGGTCTGAGGAAGAGTCGCAACGAGCAGAAAGGAAAGAGAAACCAGGAGAACTAGTGCTGGCCGAGATGGGTACGCTGACAAGCGGCCCTGAGAGGTCATGGATAAGGAGGACGTAGTTGCTAGGCTTTGTGAGGAGAAAACCAATGGTAACCTAGGTAAGAACTGCACCGGGGGAGCGAGGGGCACAGAAATCAGATGACAGAGGGTGGGGGAGAAAGCAGGGGCGGGAAGTGGAGCCAGGGAGCCTCAGGAACCTTTTCAGCAAGTGGCATTAGAATGGGCAGGAGCTGGGTGAAGCTCAGCTTTGAGTCAGTGATTTAATTTAGGTTTTAAAGTAGAGGAGATTGGGGCTGGGGATTTAGCTCAGCGGCATAAGCACCTGCCTTGCAAGCAGGCAGTTGTGAGTTCGATCCCTGGTATTGATAAAAAGGAAAAAGACAAAAAAAAAAAAAAAAAAAAAAAAAGAAAAGAAAAGAAAGAAAAAAAAGTAGAGGAGATTTCTTCATATTTGCTAATGGAAAAAGCTGATAATGAAGTGAAGGAGAAAGCTATGAGACAGGGAAAATACAACCTTTATGGAGGCTTCAAGTATAAAACAAATACAAATTAGCCCTAGATAAAAGGAGTAACAACTTCAACTTTGATAGGAGAAAAAGAAGGACGGAGGTGAAGAATACCAGGAAGTCAAAGAGTTTTTGATTTTAGGGATATTTTAATCACCAGATGTCCTGTGCTAAAATGTTAAAAGAGGGACAGATGTGGTGGCACATGCCTGTAGCAGTCAGGAGGCAGAGGCAGAAGAATCTCTGAGTTCGAAGCCAGTCTGGACCCTGGAGATAGGGAGAGAGAGGGGAGAGAGAGAGGGAGACAGACAGAGAGAGATGGAGAGAGAGGGACAGGGAGAGAGAGAATCAGGAAAGAAGCTCCCTTAACAATTTTTTTTTTCTTTTTGGAAGTTTCCTTTTGTTTGTTTGCTCTCCGTTCAGCAAAGGATACGTGATTCTAAGGCAGGTAGTCAAGCGTGTAAGGAACAAGCTGGCTCCCTGGGAAAACTCCTGTTCCAATTCAGGGCCAGTCTTGCCTTGGTTGGTTTCAATGAAATTGTCGAGGATGTGACTCCTCGTGACTTTGCCAGCATTGTCCCACTCTTGTAAGAAACTTAAAAGCCTGCTAATTGCCGCCTGCTCCTTTACAGAAGTCATGATCACTGAGTCCTGAGGGTAGCTACAGAGGAAGGGAAAACAGACAGGTTAACAGCATATGTAGAACCATGAAAATCCATACTTTGGTGGGTTTTGCTTTTCTGCTGATTAGCTGGGTACAGTTACACACAAAACTCACTCTAGCACCTGTCAACTGCTACTTCAGCCAGGAAGCTCAATGGGTTATGACGGAATTAAGGTAGCTGGGTGTGGTGACACATACCGGTCATCCCTCCTAATCTAGAGGTTAAACCAGGAGCCCATAAATTCAAGGATAACCTGTGCAATTTAGTGAGACCTGTCTCAAAATAAAAGGCTGGGGGTATAGCTCAGTGGTAGAGTGCTTGCCCAGCATGTGTGAGGTCCTGGGTTCAATTCCAGAAACCAAAAGAACATCAAGAGGGTAAATGTCAAGTTAGGTTTTTTTTTTTTTTTTTTTTTTTTTTGAGGCAGGGTTTCCCTATGTAGTTCAGGCTGGTCTTTACCATGAGTCACTATGTAGCCCATGCTGGCTTTGAACTCATGACAATACTCCAGCCTAAGCCTCCAGTGCTGGGATTATAGGCATACACTACCATGTCCAGCTAAGTCTACCCCCCCCCCTTTTTTTTGACTTTTTGAGACATTTTCACTATGCAGTTGGGGTTGGCCTTGAACTCACTTTGTAGCTCAGGCTGGCCTCCAAATCTCAGTGATCCTCCTGCCTCAGCCACCTGAGTGCTGGGATTATAGGCATGCACCACCATACCTGACTACTATCTGGTCTTTTCAGATGTATTTTGTTGTTATGTTAGACAGGGTCTCACCATGTATTCCTTGCTAGGCTTGAACTTGCAATCCTGTCTGAGCCTCCCCAGAGGAAGGCACCATGCCTAGGTCAATGCTTTAGGAGTTAAAGTGTGTCCTGGTGATGCTAACAATGGAAAGATCATAGTATCAACTGAGAATGAAGATGCTTGCTAACAAGCTGGCCTTTCTCACAGCTTGACTTACATGGAGTCAGAGATTTGGGGTCCTTAAAGATCTAGCCCCCTCTCATGCCAACCTGCTCTTTAACCTTGAACTTAGGGGTTTTGCACTAATTCCTCAAGACTTTTTAAAAAAGTTAGTGGTAAGAAAAAGTTCCTATTCCATAGTTGGATTAATGGGCTGTGGTTTGTAGGAGTCTGTGTCCTTGGGAGAATGTTTTCAGTGGGGGAGGGAAGGTTTAAAATAAACCCGTTTTCCAAAAATAGTTGTGATTGAAAGTGTTATTATCCATAACAAATGTTAGTGCTGATGGGAGAGAGGCATGTGCGATGCTTTTGTCTAACAGACAAGTGAAAGTCATATTTCACATTATCATAGGGTTTTCTGTGATTTACAGAATATTTGTGAAACATTACTTGCAGGGGCCATGATTGATATGGAGAGAACAGCTTGTGTGTAGGGGAGATGTGTATTTCACAAAGACTGTTCAACATGAAATTTACAGTCCCATAAAGTGCTTCTACATCTTCGCCAGAGATCTAGTTAAAAGGACTTTACAGTCTGAAACATCCTAAAATTGATTCTAAATTAACGTTTCTTCACATGTATTTGAGATATTGATGGGGCTCAGCTATCAGAGTTTTATTAGGAAGCAATAATGTGAGGAACGAGGAGACAGACACACATACATACCAACCTCCACGGCTCTCAGAGGTCACCGGATGTGCACTTCTGGGAGGGTGGAAGGGAAGGCAACTCCGAGATCCTGGCAGAATTACTAACAAGGTGAATAGCTGTGCACCAACCTAAAAAGAATGACCAAAGACCAGCATGAGATGAAGATGATCACTGTGAATGCTATGCTATGCTAGTCCTAAAGCTGAAATAACTTTCCAAGGCCGTGGCCACCTCCAACAACCAAGCTGCCTCAAGAAAATGGGGGTGAGGGGCTGTTCTAGACGCCAGCATGAGGTTTGTCAGGATGAACCAAGGATCAAAACTCAGAGTAAAAGCAGACATGCACCCAACAGTTCCAGGACAGGATGCTCTGTATTAAACCCTTGTTTCCAGGATTCCTTATATGTCTTCCTCTATTTTTAAAACTGGAAATAAACAAACAAATCCACAAAAAAGCCAAAGTGGCAGCTTTCAAGGGCACAGTGATGCTGATGCAATGCTAATGCAGTGAGGGCTGGTCAGGTGGCTCTTACTAGGTGCTGTGGGAGATAACTGGTTGGTCGGTTGTGTGGCAGAGCAGAGGAGCTCGAGGTCTGGAACCAGACTGGGTTCAAGGCTCAGCTCTGTGACTTGCTGTTTAATGAAAGATTAAAATAGTACCTGCCTTATGTGCCCCCCCCCTCCACGCTCCCTGCACAGAGGTGGCCATGATCAGCCCTCTTGGCTGTGTCTTTGGTGTTTACCTGGATATTTGCAAATAATGAGCTTATACTACTTGGTATGGGCTGAATTGGGCCTTCCCAAGTCCATGTGTTGAAGTCTAAACTCTTCAGTGCCTTAGAATGTGATCATATTTGTAGAAAGGGTCTTTAAAGAGACAGTGAAGGTAAAATGAGGTTATTAGGGTGTGCCTTTATCCAACACAGCTGATGCTTAGGACTCACCTGGACATGCTTAGGACTTAGATACACCCTAGGGAAGACGAGGTGATGACACAGGACGAGGTGCTACGGAGGCAATCACCCCTGCACTGCCCTGGTTTCCCCACCAAATCTACCAAATGTGTAATGGAAATTTTTCTAAATGTTCAACCTTTAGCTGACCAGTTCCAGCTATTCCCTGGAGACCTGAGTCACACATTTTTGATTTTTTTCTCCTTTAGTTGAAGATCATTGTTCACTAAGCATTGTACACAAGTGTCCTAGGGTTTTCTTTTGCCATTCTTCTGTGGTGTATCCCACATCTCCCCCCCTTTTTTGTTCTTTATTTCCTTGTCTAGTTGAACTACATTCTCTAGTAGTTTCATATGTATGTGAACTGGAAAGTCTGAAAATCTCTTTTTGTCTTCGTGTTGAGGAAAGACTGGGTATGTGACTTGGTGTTAGAAATGAGGTTGCCTGAAGACCTCTAATGTCTCCAATGTTTTGGTTTTATTGGTCTTATTCTTTACTGTTTTGTTCAATTTTATGATAACTGATGATATAGGCAATTCTTTTTAAGATAACAAGAGGCATTATGGTAACCATTGTTGATCACCTTGTATTTTGTTTTTACATTATGTATTATGTCCATCCTTTTGATTTGACTGACTCTGTCCTGTTATGTCACATTTGGTTTTACTTTCTTCAAAAAAAAAAAAAAAGTAATAAGAACTGTGGGAGCAGTGAAACCCAAGATGTGTAATTGTCATTGTATGGAAGAAGGGAGGGGAGAGTTCTCTGGGGGATATAACTGCATGTATGTTTGGGTGTGTAGGATGGATAACCATATTGCTGAGTTTTGTCGGATCATTGAACAAAACTGTTTGCAGTCTCACTGTTTGAAGGTCCCCTCTGTATGCTTTAATTTTGTAACTTCAACAACTATTTCTAAGATAACAATATGTAATTAACAGGTGATTTCCTACTGTTTATTTTTTCTGAAATTCTGTATAACTTGTACCCCCTTTTTTTTTTCCTTAAATAAAATTAAAAAAAAAAAAGAAATGAGGTTGCCTACTGATAGGATTTTTGGCGTAATAAAGGGAAAATATAAAGTAAAAATGGCCTTTATTCTAAGAATGCGGAGAGAATCCATGACCACCAGGGCCTGGCTTTCTCTGTTGTAAACGTGGTGTGGGGCATACATATAGTTTCTGACTGGGATGGTGCTTAAGGTGGCATTGCTGATGCTCAGGCAGCTGAGTGGGACACCACAGGTAAGTTGTTATAGGGGAGGGGGAAGTGATCTCAAGGTACGTCCCCTGGTCCCTCCTCCCACTGTCCTAATATCCCTCCTCCCACTGTCGTAATATCCTATCTAGGGCAAAATCCTTTCACCTACCAGCTGCTGTTGCTGACAAAATGTAACTTTGATTTCTGTATCTTTGAAAGCTTTTTTAAAAAAAAAAATTTTTTTTTTGGTCTTTTTCTTTTTTTATCGATACCGGGGATTGAACTCACAACCACACACTTGCAAGGCAGGCACTTATGCCACTGAGCTAAATCCTCAGTCCTGAAAGTTTTTCTAAAAGTGTATGATGAAAAAAAGAGTGTATGATGGTGGGCGTGGTAACTCCCATCTGTACTCCCAGTACTCAGGAGGCTGAGGCAGGAGGATTGCTCTAAATTTGAGGCCAGCCTGGACTACAAAGCGAGACCCTGTCTCAAAGAAAAAAAAAAAAAAAAAAAAAAGGTGGGCCTTTTGGTGCAGGTCTTTTTCATTTATTGTACTAGGTCCTTGTTGGGCTTTTTAAAATTAGCTGCTATGGTCTTCAGTTTTTAGAAATTTCTCAGGAAACAACTAGTCTTTTCATTGGAGAATTTAAAATGTTAGTCAGTAGAGGTTATTTTCCTCTCTTCTACATTCTCTAGGGTTTCCAGGGAGCATGGGTAAGAAAAACATCTGGCTATTGGCATCCCGGGAGTGGAAGAAGGGGCTAGGATCTGCAACCGGTTTTCCTGTACCCCTGTTTTTACCCTGTATATCATCCCTGGCCTTCCAACTACACTGAGGTCCACAAGTATGGAAGCCTCCAGAGTTCAATTCTCTTTGGTGTATGCAGCTAAGAGTTTGGAGTGTTGCTCACCTGCTGAGGGCGGGGCTCAAAAAAAGTGCTTGGCACATAGCTCTCAGTCAGCGTCCTGCTCAGCTCCACACCTTGTTTACTTTCTCTAGTTGCCTGATTCCAAGCCTAAGGCCTCCTGCAGGCCAGGGTGGGTGACTGCCTTGCTTCCTGCAGCTGATCTCCCCTTGCTGGGACTTGGTTTGCAGTTCCCTCAGCCTCCAGCCAGTTGGCTCCCCCCACCCCTTCTGCTTTCCAAATATTTGTTGAATCCTCCCACATGTTGTTGCCTCTTTCCCTGAACTTTTGTGACTTTTAGATAGCCTTATGTCACTGAGGTTTGTAGAAGTTGGGGGAGATCAAGGGCAGCAGTCATGTTTAAGAGAGAGTCTCCAGACAATTACTAATTTTTATCTCAACCTTTCTTCAGTGTGAGATTTGGTAAGACTGAAAAAAACGATGGGGCTGGAGAATAGCTCAGTGGTAGGAAGCTTGTACTGAATTGGATCCTTAATTCCACAAACAAAATAAAACAAAACCCCCAAACCATTAAAAACAAAATCTTAAAAGAATTACAAAGAGAAAACAGTAGGCAAAGGAAAGAAATGTGCTAATTTCAAGACGTCATGTTGCTGGGATAAAATCTGTATTTAAAATTTTTGACTATCAAAAGAAAAGGGGAGAAAAATAAAAAGGGAGCTGGGTGTGGTGGTGCATGTCTATCATCCCAGCACTTGGGAGGCTGAGGCAGGAATGCCACAAGTTTAGGCCAGCGTTGGCTATGTAGTGAGTTCAAGGCCAGCCTGTACTGCATAGTGAGACCCTGTATCAGGAAAAAAAAAAAGAAAAGAAAAGAAAAAGGAGAAACGTGTTTTTCCTGGTAAAGGAAAAGGGAGAAAAAAAGATTTTTTTTTAGTTTTTATATTAAGCAATAGCTCCACACAAGAATATGTATGTGTAAAATTATTTTTTAACCCAGGCCTGGTGGTACACACCTGTAACTCCACTACTCAGAAAGGTGAAACAGGAGGATCATCACATGTTCAAGGCCAGCCTGGGCTACACAGGTACTGGAAACCAGCCTAAACTACTTAGTCCCTATCTCAAAAAACAAAAATAAATTTTTAATATTTTTTTGAGACAGGATCTTGCTATATAGCCCAGGCTGGCCTTGAATTTATAACAATTCTCCTGCCTCTCCCTCTCAATGCTAGGATTACAGGCATGCAATACCATGCCTGGTTGGTAAATTTTTAAATTTTCTCTTTTTTTTGAATTTTTAATTTTTCAAGACAATGTTTTTAAATACGGGAGATAGAACCCAGGGCCTTCATACTGAGCTACCTCCGCAGCCCACTTTTTTTTTTTAAATTTGGAGACAGGATCTTGCTATGTCATCCAGACTGAGCTCAAACTTCTGATCCTTCTGCCCCATCCTTCCACTTGTGACACTCCTGCCTCAGCCTCCCAGAGTGTGGAGATTACAGGCGTGCATCATCGTGCTTGGCTTGATCTTCTTTTCTTTCATTTTACATTTATTTATTTATTTATTGCAGGCTGGGGATCTAACTCCTAGCCTTTGTTGAGCAACATCCCCAGCCTTGTTGTACGTAATTCTCTTAAGAAGGACTACAGTTACTGTCCACAATTTTCAGAGAAAGAGACTAAAGTTTGAAAAGCTATGCTTATTAATGAAGGCCTCATGGCTAAAAGGAATGGAGATGAGATTTGAACTTGAACTGGCACGTAACTCCACAAAGTCCGAGTACTCTTTGTTAAGCAAACACTGATTCTGTTGTCCCCTGCACTCCATAGTATCACTCACAACTTGTTGTCAAAGCCAAGGCTGGCCTGCAGTCTGCAGCAGACAAGTCCCCTTCCAAATGTCTTTCTCAGACCCTCCCTCCCAGCTGTGCACCTGGTGCTGGGTGCTGTGCACCTCCTCCTGTGCACCTGTGCAAACCCTTTGCAGGGCTCCATGTTTTCCTCCTGCTCTGTGGCCTCACTCCCTCCATCACTGTCAGTGCTTCTGTATGTGGCTGGCTCCCAAGTCCACACCCTCAGCCTGGACACTGTCCTGGGCTCTGCCTCCTTGTACTTCAGGGGCCAGAGAACTGCTCAAGGGTGTGTGTCACAGGCTCCTCCCGTCCACAGAGCCCATGCTGAACTCACCCCCTCCTCTTCCCTGTCCCATTGCCCCATGCGCATGGGCTACCATCTTCCTAGTCACCTGACAGGTGCCCTAGGCTAGCACAGTCCCTTGTTCTCCTTATCTGAAGGTTTGTTGCCAGTTTCTGTGGGTCACACTCCTAACTCGCCCTTGCCCTCGGACCAGGGTGTTCGGCTGCATGAGCACTTTTTTTTTTTTGGTACCAGGAATCAAACTTAAGACCTTGTGCTTTCTAGGCAGGCTCTGTGCCACTGAGCTGTATCCCTGGTGGCCCACGGCTGCTCCTTTTGAGTCACATCCCCATCTCCATGGATTACTGCACCAGCCTCCTCACCCTCCTCTGACCGACCCCATCCTCACTCCACAGAGAGCCGGATTTCTCAGCAGCAAATTCCTCAGAGATTTTCTTTATTCCGGGATAAAGAATTCTATCTCAGTCCAAACTATTTCACTTAAATTCTGCCCCCAAGTGAAAACTGGCACTGAGCCCCACCCCAGCCCACTTTCTTACTTCTAGCAGGGATCAGGAGGAGGCTGCCCACTTCCGTCCATAGTAGAAAGCATTCTCATGTTTCTAAGCCATGTTTCCTTTTCTGAAGTCAGGCCTTCTGTTCTTCTCTACTCCCTTGCCTCCAGGGTGCTCTGTCAGCCACCCGTCCCATTCAGAGTCACAGATACACATCTGCCTCTACTCCGGAGTCACAGGGCAACTTCCAGGTCAGTATTTCCATCCTCAACAGATATTAGTAAACTGACATCCAAGGGGCTAGGGATTTAGCTCAGCAGCATAAGCGCCTGCCTTGCAAGCAGGCAGTCGTGAGTTCGATTCCTGGTACCGATAAAAACGAAAAAGACAAAAAAAAAAAAGTAAACTGACATCCAATATACTGTGCTTATAATAAGCCCTGTAATTTCCACTAATCTGACATATTTAGATATCCTGGGTATCAACTCTGAGCAAGGCAATGGAGTTGGCACTGGTTAACATATAAACATAGTCCTTCTGGGCTGGGGATTTAGCACAGCGGCATAAGCGCCTGCCTTGCCAGCAGGCAGTCATGAGTTCGATCCCTGGTACCGATAAAAACGGAAAAGACCAAAAACAAAAAACATAAAAAACCAAAACAAAACATAGTCCTTCTCCTTAGGGTGCTTACATCCTGGGAGGGAGAGAGACTCAGGCAGCCGAGGTTTTAATGAAGACTGAAAAGTGATCTGTGGGGAATACAGGCAAAGCTTTGTTGGTGCACGGGAGAGGTATGAAATCTAGAAATCCAGGATCCAGCTTTCACTTCCAAATAACCCAGCATCATACTGAAGAGCTATACTTTAAACTCTAAGTAGCCACCTGCCACTTGGGAAGTCTATAGTTCCAAGCTCCTTAACCTGTATACCTCTTCACCTGTTCTCAGATCAAGTCTTGGGCTTAACAAAGAAACTTTTAGGCCCTCAGGCAAGAACACCTTACTATTCTTTCTTCTCTCCACATTACCCCTATCCACACTCATCCTTCCTCTTTCTCTGTCCCTCTACTAGAGCTCTGTATCCATCCATTCATTTGTCCCATCCATCCCACCCATCCATTTCATCCATCCATCTCGTCTCCTTAGGGCCCTTTTCCATTCATTACTCCCCCTACCCTTTTATCCTCAACCATTCTCTTTAGGTATTTTGTTAGTCTACTTAATTTTTGCCAATCTATAAGAAAAAGCAAAATCTCAAATCCACATCCTCCTTTAGTTGTCTGATTTTTTTTTTTTTCTTTTGGTACTGGGAATTGAACTCAGGACCTCGCACTTGTCAGGGAGGTGCTGTGTGGCTGAGCTTTATCCCAGGCCCCTAATTTTCTCACTTTGTAGCAAAGCTCCTATAACAGTCTGCATACTGTTCTCTGTGTACCCCCTAACCCCCCTTTTCTCAAGATTCTGCTGTTGGGCCTCTCTTGCCCTCACATTACTTGCATCTCTTTAGCCAATGTCTCTGATACCTGCCTAACCACCCAGGTCACTGAGGATGTCATGGTCCTTTGCTTACTTGTCCTCTTGCTGCCACAATCACCACCACTGACCCTTCGTTTTCCTCCTGCGCACCTTCCTGACACCTCTGCATTGGGACATCTCTGTTTGCATGCAGCTCTGGCTGCTGCCTCCATCTTTGAGTCTCCAGCCACCTGTCCTCAGTAAACTGTCAAAGATGACACCCATGAGGTTGGAACTTTTCTGCTCCACCTTCAACCTATCAGCAACTCCATTAAGCATGAAACGCCACAAGCAGTGACAAGTAGGTCTCAAGCTGGACCTGTGAGGATCAATGTAAGACCCAAGTTCAGTCTCTCTATGGATAAGCAATTGCAGTTCCAACAGCGTGGTGAATGCAACAGTACAGTACAGGGCACTCTGGGATGAGAGAGAGGACACCTAGCCTGGCAATGGTTAGTTGTTGGCTATCACAGCTTTCAGAGGAGCCACCTTCAGGCTAGAAGGTGATCTGTAGTTCTCCAGGAGAGGAGAGCGTGCCCCACACAGAGGGCAGAAATTATGCAGTGCAACAGAGAGGACAGAGCAGCATGTAAGGGAGTGCTGGTGAACCCAAAGCATGTGTACACAGCAGGCTGTTTATTGTCAATGAAAGCTCTGAAAGGTCCCCATCACTGTTCTAATGCATGAAGAACTGTAAGTGGAGGAGAGCACAGCACAGTGGTTTGGACCATGGTTTCTACTTCCCAGCTGTATGACCTAGGAAATCACTTAACCTCTCTAAATAGGTGATAATATGTAGTAATGCCTAACATATAGAAAACCCTCACTAGAGCTTAGCTCTTTCCTTCATTGCCAAGATTGCTCACAGCAGCTAGAGTGTAGCATGGGAATGAAAGTGGCAAGACTTCCACTTTTTGAAATCACTATGTAGTCCAGCTTGGCCTTGGACTCTTGCCGTTCTTCCTGCTTCAGCCTCCCAACTGCTGAGATTATAGGAGTGTACCACCAAGCCTGAGACTTCCATTCTTGTAGGGGAACAGGCAGAGGGCAGGGAATGCAGGCTCTCCATGCAAGGCTTGCACTCTCTCCTGAGGGGTATGTAGGGGAAGGAGCTGAAGACTCTCATCGACAAAAAAAAGACTTGGTTTAGAAAGCCCTTGACTACAGTGTAAGAGGACCAGGTGAGGCCTTTCTGGAAGTCATTCCTATATAGCCTTGGCAAAAGATGCCAAGGACACCAGGGGTGGAGAGAAGCAGAAAGGCCATACAGGTATAAGTGATAGAATCTGGTGCCTGAGCAGATGTGCAGGATGAACAAAGGGGAAGAGTCAAGCAGGAACAGGAAGCCTGGATAAGCTGGCTTCCTACCTCACAGAGAATGCAGGTAAACCAAGCAGAACCCCCTGTTTGTCTTGCAATCTTTTTCTCTTTTCTTTCACATTGCTGGGGGTTGAACTCAGGTCTTAAACATGCTGGGAAAGTGCTCTATCTGGGAGCCACATTCCCTAGCCCACCTTTTCTCTCTCCTCCTTTCTTTTCCCCCTCCCTCATTCCTTTCCTTCCCTTTTACTAGGGACTGAGTTTAAGTCACTAAGTTGTGAAAGCTACTTGAATTTCTGATTCTCCTGCTTCTGCCTCCCGTAGTACTGGGATTACAGGCTTTTACTTCTTCCTTTAAACACATGCTCAATTCCTGCCAAGCATAGTACATTCACTTAAAAAAGGTCTTTCTGAGACTGTCCCTCAAGCTTCTACACTTCCTTTCTTTATCTCTAAATTTTTCCATAGGCTCCCTGTGGCCTATAGGTTAAGCTCTACCTCAATATGGCATTTGAGGCCTTGTAAAACATAGCCCTGCACAGTGTGGTGGCACATGCTTGTAACCCCAGCATTTTGGGAGCCTAAGATAGGAATTTGCCAATTTAGCAAAATACTGTCTCGAAAAAAATTTAAACTAAAAAGGACTGTAGCCCAGTGTAAAGGTCCTGGGTGGCAGAAAGCCAACAAACATCCCAAACTAACCTCATTTCTAGTCACTTCCATATAATGACGATTTCTCAGCTCTCCAGGGCTTCCCAGGGCCCCTGGCACCTCCAAGGCTGCTCTGCCAACAGAATGGCCAGCTATTTCTGCCTGTTGGCAGATTCCCTAAAACTACTAGGGGCTCTCAGTTGTGTGGTTCCCATCTACCTTACCTCTTCCTTTCTATGCCATAAAACATAACCTTTCCCCACACTAGAGTATGAGTTCCCAAGAGCAGGGGTTCCTCTTCTCTGGCTGTGTCCCTAGTGCCTGGCATAATGTAGTTGTTTGATAAACGCCTGCTGGGCGAATGAGTGGAGGCCAGCCAGCTCCTGTTTAGATTGTTATGTCTGAGTGTCCATGATATGTAGGTCTATAAAGCTACCAACTTTCCAAAGCTGCCATGTGCAGAGTGGTGGAATCTCCATCCAAGAAGGCCAGTGCGGGGTCTATGAGGCATTTTATAGCTATGACAGGAAATCGCAATGTCAGCGGTGGTGTCATCTTTGGACCCTGAGAACAGGGATTCAGTGCCATGAACGGTCAGTTAAATTGTAATTGGAGTGAACTGTTCTTCTGCAAACCATAATGTTCTTTAGCTGCAGCCAAATGGCAATCAAGAAGGGGAGGAAATTTTTTGAAATGTCAAGGAAATTATTTCCAATTTGGTGCTCAGAACCGGAGATTCTAATGATCAGTGGAAATGAGAAGCAAACAAATTAGCACTAATGGAAAATGGCTTTTGGAAAAGAGAATTTAATTTATAGTCAACTGATCATGGCACGTGGCATGCAGTAAAAATTGGTGTCACCAGCTTGATCATAAGGACCGGAGCACACATGGAATGCCAGGGAAAAATGTGTGGGTGCCATCATGCTTATTGGAATCTCTCTGTTAGTGGCAGCCAATTAAAATAGTCATTATTTTACCTTGGAGAGAAAATGGTGTGAAAAATCAAGGCACATGAAATTAAAATTCAGATTAGTAACTGCAGTCCAAATTGGTTGGTTTGTGGCCTCCTAACCTTGGCAAGGTCTTCCACAAGGACAACCAACCTACTTAGTCTTCAGCCAGAGTGGACTCTTTGTTTTTAATTTCCTCTCCATTTTCAGAAGTGATTAATAAATCTGGACTCATCTATAAATCATTTCTATAGCAGCCACATGCAGGGAAACTAAATCTCAACAACTCCAAAGATCTTTAAAAATAAAGGGTAGAATTAAATACCAAGAGGTTAGTAGATTTGGTTTCTAAATTTTCCAGAGATTTTTTTTCCTCCTACACACACACACATTTGTAAAAGCAAGAAGTGTACAAGGCATGGGCTGTCAGACTGGCTCCCCATGCCCACTGGCCTCTGAGACAAGGAGCAGTCACTGTCTCCTGTTCTTGGAGGATTCAAATGCAGAGTGAGACAGAGTTTTTCTGTTAACCACTCTGCCTCCTCACTCTCAGGCCAGAGATACAGTCCTGCTTGGCTCAGTGCAAGTGAGCTGCGGGATCGTGACACTGTGTGAATGGCAGAATTCACTTACATAAGCTGGGATGGTGCAGCCTCCAATCCACGCAGTCTATTGCTCTGAGGCTACAAACCTGATCTGCACCCCGCTATACTACATACTGCAGGCAAGGACAATCTAGTGGCAGACAGCAGTCTATCCAAATATGTGTGAACACAGAAAAGGACAGTAAACAGTGTAAAGGGGCTGGGCTTGTAGCTCAGTGGGACACCACTTCTATGCTCAAGGTCTTAGGTTTGAGTTCCTGTGCTGCCCCCCATCCTTGAAAGCTATGAAAGATAAAAAAAAAAAAAATCACATAGCTGTATAGCTATCACAAAGAGACTGGGAGTTGCTCTGAATGAGTCACAAGGTGAGTGATGAGTGTGAAGGCTGAGGACCGTTTTGTAGGCCACTGTGGACTTTACAACTAGGCTATCCTTAATTTCTTTCTTTTCCTCATGCATACTTTATGTGAGACAGGGTCTTGAGATGTACTTCAGGCTCTTCTTGAACTCATGGTGATCCTCCTGAATCCCAAATGCTGGGATTACAAGCATGTACCATATTTGGTGGTACTAAGGATTGAACCCAGGGCTTTCATACTTACCTAGATTCCCATTTCTTGCTTTTTATTTATTTTGAGACGGGGTCTTGCTAAGTCTCTAAGTAGCCTAGGCTGAGCTCAAACTCGTGATCATCCTGCCTCAACTTCCCAGCATATTAGAATTGCAGGTACAATATCATGCCCAAATAGGCTAAATTTATAAAAAATACTTTCTTTTCTCTTTTTTTTTTAGTACTGATGATCATCAAACTCATGACCCCACACTTACCAGGCAGGTGCTTACACTGCTGAGCTAAATCCTAAGCTCTCTCTCTCTCTTTTTTTTTTTTTTGGTGGCACTGGGGAACTGAACCCACAGCCTTTGTACTGAGCTATATCTGTGATTTATTTTTAAAATTTTGAATCAGGGTCTTGCTAAGTTGCTCAGGCTGGCAATGAACTTGTGATCCTCCTGCCTCAGCTTCCTGGAGTACTAGGCTTACAAGTGTGCATCACCACACCTGGTTTCTCTTTACTTAATAATAAATTAGCAGCTGGGAACAGTGGCACACACTTTAAATCTTACTTATTCAGGAACCTAAACCAGGAAGATCTCAAATTTCAGGCCAATCTGAGTAACGTAGTAAGATCCTGTCTTGAACATAAAAAGGAAAAAAAAAGGGCTGAGATAGCTCAGCAGTGGAGTGCTTTCCTTGCATGCATGAGAGCCTCTGTATTAGTGAGCTTTGTTGTTGCTGGGACGAAACACCTGACACCTATAACTCAAAGGAGCATTCTCAGTCTTTAGTCTATGGTCAGCTGGGGCCGAGGCAGGGCCATCACAGTGCAAGTGTGTGAAGAAGCAGAGCTGCTTACTTTATGGTGCCCGGAAAGCAGAGTAGGGAACAGCACTAGGCAGGAAGAGACCAGGGACAGACACACTTCTGTGACCCACCAGGTGACACTCAAGTATGTTTTCTCATTTCCTAGGAAGCTCTAAAGGAACTGACAATCCAGTTTAACTGTCACACCTGTGTTCAATTCCCAGTACCACACGTGTGTGCATGAACACACACACTACCCTTATGACCATGGTTTGGGTAAATGTCGCCGAAGGGTTAGGTGTTAAATGATGGTTTCCAGCCCATGGTGGTACTGGGAAGTGGTGGGGTTTCAGGTCACCCAGGGCATCCTTGGAAAGGGATATGGAACTCTGGACTTCTGTCTCTGGTTCCTACCTGCCAGAAGGTGAGCAGCTGTCCAGCCTTGTCCTTCCCACCAACAATGGCCTCACTGCAGCTCCAAAAGCATTGGGGGGACCAACCAGGCAACGTGATTAGCTACTCTTACATCACTTTATAAAATTACGTTTTGAAAACTGTTTTACGCTTACAATAACAGCTAGCTTAAAATATACATAGAGCTTGTCATTGGGCACATGCCTATAATCCCAGTACTTGGGTGGCTGAGGAAGAAAGTTCCTGTGAGTTTGAGGTGAGTTCAAGTCCAGCCTGAACTGCATAGTGAAATCCTGTCTCCAAAAGACAGACTTTTTCTTCCCCCACACTCACGTCTGCTCCAATGCCACCCAAAACCTAACCGTACCTCTGTTCACACTCTGGGTCAACCAACCAGTCGGCCCACTATCCTCTCCCGGCATGCATCTTCTCTGGCTCACTTCCTCTCCCTCCTTCTCTTCCCAGTCTTCTTACTCTGCCCTTTACAGTTCCCTTTCCTTATTAGGTCTCTTTCATTCTATTTCTTCCCTTTCTCTGCCCATCTCTGGTCTGTTCCCAGAGCTGGTTCCAACCTGGAGCTCCATTTCCGCATAGCACCCCCTGGTGGACGCTACCTGTGCTCTTACAGTTTGGGATCTCAAGACTGGGAGAGAGGCTTGCACAACCCTCAGTTCCTTACTCCAAGTGCCCAGATATCTGTATGCTGCCTTAGTCACCTCACTCTCATTCTCCATTGCTGCTATGCTAATTTTTTTTATCCATTTTTGGGGGAGTGGGGTCTTGTTACATTGCCTAGGTTGTATCAAACTCATTTTTTTTTTTGAGACAAGGTCTCACTATATAGTATAGGTTGGCCTTGAACTTGCTTATTTTTCTTTTCTTTTCTTGTCTTTTTTTCTTTTTTATCGGTACCGGGGATTGAACTCACGACCGCCTGCTTGCAAGGCAGGTGCTTATGCCGCTGAGCTAAATCCCCAGCCCTGAACTTGCTTATGATCATCCTGCCTCAGCCTCCTGAGGATTACACACCTAGGATTACAGGTGTGTGCCACCACATCATTTTGTGTTATTTATTTATTTATCTTCCTTTCAGTACCAGGAATTGAGCTTTTTTTTGCTTCAGCCTCCTGAGTACCTGGGATTACAAGTGTGCACCATTTTGCTTGGCTTTTTCTCTTCTCTTTTCAACCTCACACAGCATCATTAATCCCTTCCTTACTGGCTGATATCATGTCTCGATTTCTCAGAAAAAGTGGAAACCATCAAACAGAAGTTCCCACAACTTCCTATCAAACCCACCAAAGTGGTAATGTCATTGGACATGCTTCCCTTCTGCCACACAGAAACGTGACTCCATCTTTAAGTGAAATTTCCCCATCAATACTCTGGATTTCCTTCCTTTTTACGCAAGATACGTCTCTCCCAGCTATCTAACTTGCCTATAATTTTATCTTTTTCTCTTTGCTGAATCTGTGCCAACAGCATCTGCTCCCATCTGAATAAAAATCCTCCTCCTTCCAGCTATTGCCTTCTCTTTGTTCTCTTAAACAGCTTAACTTCTTTGCATGCTAGGCAAATGCTCTACCTAGACTGAACTAGCCCAATCTAAACTTCTTAAGTGTATTTTACACGCAACCTTTATTTCCTTATCTTTCTTTCCATTTATCTTTCAAACTACTCTAATTGAACCTCTACTCCCATTATTCCACTGAAACCGAACTTGCAAAGGTTACCAACTTCCTTGTTTCTAAATGTAATGGCTTCTTTCTCACCTTATTTTACTTGATTACTAATCAGCCTTCAACACTTTCCTCTTTTGGCTTCTGAGACACCTCAGAGGTAATGGTTAAGATAACTAATGGTTAAGATAACTCTTGGTTATCTTTTCATCTTGGACATTTCATCTCAAATACCTGTTCAGGCTTACCTTCTTTGCCCGACTCTTTTTTTTTCGTTTTATCAGTACCAGGGATCGAACTCACGACTGCCTGCTTGCAAAGCAGGTGCTTATGCCGCTGAGCTAAATCCCCAGCCCCCTTTGCCCGACTCTCAAACTTGGGTACTTCTCCGGGTTGCAGCGCCGCAAGAGACAAAGTTTAGACTCTGTCCTAAGCCTTCTCTTTTTTACGCATACCCTCGGAGCGAGCCTAACAATCCACTGTTGTAGCTGACATCCACATGGCCCTACAGATTCCCACAATTCTACTTCCAGCTTAGATTCATCTTGTGACTTCCAATATAGCATATTCGGCTGCCTCCTTGAAGCCTCCCATTTGGATATTCTATAAGCACCTCACATCCACTAGGCCCCGATGGCTCCCCAAACGCCTGGCTTCCTCCTTCCTGTTGTCTAAATCAGAAAACTAAAAAAAAAAAATCATTTATTTCTCCTATTAAAACATATGTCTTGGGCTGGAGATTTAGCTCAGCGGCATAAGCGCCTGCCTTGCAAGCAGGCAGTCGTGAGTTTGACCCCCGGTACCGATAAAAAGGAAAAAGACAAAAAAAAAAAAAAAAAAAAAAAAAACCAAAACAAACAAACAAAAAATATGTCTGATCATTACTCCCGTTTAAGGCCAGATGACTCCTCACTGGCTCACAATAAATCTAAGAACTTATGTTCCTAGGCGTAAAATGCATTGGATTTTTCACCCATTAGCAAAATCTACATATAAATTCAAGGCTGAGGCTTAACACTACAGATTGTCCAGGATGGCCCTGCTCTTCCCAAGTTTCTCTCACATTAGTCTTTGGCCTGGCCAGAGGCCCTTCATGTAATTTCTGGTACTCACCCTGATTTTCCCTTCTTTGGTTGCCTCAAGCAAATCTTTTCTCAAGTCTCCAAGTCTTTCACGGGCCAATTCAACAATTATCCCTTTTACAATGCTCTTTCTCTCAGATTTTGAGCTTTTAATCTTCTACACTATTTATTTCCCGTATAGAATTAATTTGGTTCATGTATGATTTTCTCTCACGACTTCATTAAAGATGTATAGTCAGGGCCAAAAGCTCAATCCTCAAAAGAGCTCAAGGAACCTTACTTAGCTCATATGTGGTCCATAGTGGTCGCCTAGTAAACGCCTGTAAATGCATGGACAAACGCAAGGAAGCTGTACTTCCTAGCCCCTTGTTGCCTCCACAAATGGGACATTCTGTAAAGTCACAGGGTTAAGACCTTCTCCCACCCGCCCCCGCGGTCCGCTTGAATACGCCTAGCTCCCCCCGGATTGGTCGGCACGCGCCGCCTAGGCCGTTTCGTACGGTTTTCTACCTCCAGCCCTCCGACCTGCGGCTGGTAGAGGATGGTAGAGGTGGCTAGACGAGGCACGTCACAGGGTACTGTCTTCTACCGGGTAGGCTACGACGCGGTGGCAGAACCTCCACATTCCTACAGTACGAGACTACCCCGCCAACTCTATCCACGCAACGGGGTGGTGACTCTTCCTGACCGGCGTCCCGACTGGCCAATAACTGGTCCGGATCAAGGGGGGGCGGAGCCTGGTTGTTATGGCAGGACCAGTGACGAGCAGGGAAAGGCTCAGAAAGACTCCGTAGTTGCTAGGGTGGAGGTCACAGAGTGCCGGCCTGGGATTGGGCAATGTCGGGAAGGGGGTGGGGAGGGGCGGTGCGCGGGCGGTTCCCGGGATGCGGCGGGTTGCGGCGCCGGAGCGCTGGCGTGAGTTCCGGTGGTAGGCCGGTGCGGAGGTCGGCGCCTTCGCCATGGCCCAGGCTGGGCTGGACTACACCATCGAGATCCCGGATCAGCCCTGCTGGAGCCAGAGTATGGAACGAGGGTCGGGTCCAGTTCTGGGGAGGTGACCTGACGAGTCTATAGGTCGCGAGCGCACCCTCGCTCCGCCCGCTGCGCTGCTCCGCCCCTGCATAGGGTCCCGCAGAATTTGAGGGGCGCGGAGAGCCCCGCCCCAGCACTGTCCCATCCGAGCCACGCCCCATCTCTGCGTCTGCTCTCCGTTTGGGTCCTTTTCCTGTTTTGTCAGTCTGGGATTCTCTGGACCCATGCTCTTCTTTCTGTAGCTGGAGCGCTGCCTAGGGTAGCCTGATTGCTCTATGTGGGCTCCCCACTTCTCGCTTGTCCACCTAGTTGCGGCTCCGGGTACACACTGTTTTCCTTCAGGAGAACTCCCATCTCCCTCTCTACTCTTTTTGGCAGTGGTAACAGCAGTCTCTACCTTCAAGTAGAACACTGTTGAAATCTGGACTCTCCCTTTAGTGGTTGAATGACCTTTGGTAAGCTGCCTGCCCTGGACTTGAGTTTCCTTCAATGCAAATTAAGAGTAAAGGAGTAAAATCCCTCATAAGCTTGTTGGTTGCATAACTGAGAGGTTATTTGTGTAAAGAATCAGGCATAGGGCTTGATATGGAGCAAGTTTAGCAATTGGTGTGTAAGGTTAACATTGGTTCCCACACTTGATAGTCCAAGCACTGAGGAAAGATGTGTGGGAGGCTAACAAAATTAATAGCTATTGAAGCAGGCCTGTGTTCGTGGCAGTGCCCAAGGAATGAGAAGTTGTTCCTGTTGGAAATTTCAGTAGAGGAGTTTTGGAGGGCTGGACAGCCTGGGCCCCATTTCTTGCTCGCATTACTCGGAATTGCTTCCTTGCTTCCAGTCTTAGCCTCTTGTATTGGTATTGCAGTGAACTTAATACAAGGGTTTGATCTTATCACATCACAGCTTTTCATAAAACCCATTAGTGGCTCCTTATTACCCTTAGGATAAATCAAGTCATTCAGAGTCCATAATTTAGCAGCCCAGGATTACCTCTTGGATCACTATGTCCTTACTCTGTGCAATATGAGTTTTCCATTCTGCATCATCCAGTGGCTCGTGATTCTTTGCATGTTTCTTGGCTTTTATTTCTGCTCTTTGCTGTGCTAAGAATGCCCTTCCTTTCTACTACCCAAAATGCCCCCTTGCTTGGCCAGCTCACCAGATATTTACTTCACAGAGGCTTCCCAGACCCCTGTAATACCATCTTGTGTTCCTTGGGTGGAATCTAGGAGGAGAAGTCAGTGTCTAGCCTCCGAAAGAACAGGTGGCTCTGATCAGCTATTTTTCCCTTGACCTGGATCTTTTACCTTGAATTTTCAGATTTACAGAAGTAAAAATATTTATTATCTTTGGAGACTCTTAAGCTGAAGAGGTCTGGAGCTGCATTCTGCCAGGCCAGGAGGGCAGAAATTTCTCTCTCTGCCTACAGGGGCAGCCTAATGGTCTTGGTTCACATTTTCTGCTTTATCTCTTAATGACTCCATGTTGGCAAGTTATTGAACCTCCCTTGAGCATCAGGTTCCTCCACTGTGAAATGGGAGTACTAACAAAGCTTACTTGCAGGGCTTGTAAGAATTGGCAGGGTAAGGGCTGGATGTGTGTGCCTGGCTCAGAGAGGGTGTCTTGCTGGTGCCTTTCCTCCTTTGGGCTTTCTTCGCTCGCAACTTTAGGCGGTTGGGGCTTAGAACTGGAAGACATCTCTGAGGGCCCTCAAGCTAGCATGAGGCATTCCACTGCTGGGAGACCTTCCCTACTATGGCATGCTTCTTCCTTAACAACCTGGCCTGTTGGAAGCAATGGATTGTTGAAAAGCACATCTGCTTTTTTTTTTTTTTTTTTTTTTGAGACAGAGTCTTGTTGTACAGTTCAGGCTGTTCTTGGGCTCACTTTGTCTCCCAGGCTGCTCTTGAACTTGCAATGATCCACCTGCCTCAGCCTCTTGAGTACTGGGATTACAGGTATGCTCTACCATACCTGACCACAACCCTTTCTTGAATTACAATAGATCTACCCGTCATTTCCACTCTCAGGTCAGTAGTTGTGCCTTGGCATAGCTTAGTTGTTGGGGCATCAGAAGTGATTCATGCACAGGTCTCCTTCAGGGAGCTGTGGTTTTGGGGAGGGAATGTTTATAAGCAGATGGTTTCAAAGTGATGCGGTAACTGCAGGGCTAGGGTTTGAGGTGGTGGTTACAACACAGAGCAAGTAATCCCTCTTTTGCTCTTCAAGAGACAGCTTTATGACTTCCGCCAGTCTCCTCAAAGGAAAACACTTCCAGGCCCTTCCATTGTTCTTCCATTTGATTTCCTGCCTCCTGACCAGTTGGTTCCTTGTGATCTTGTGAGCTCCCTTCATTTAGCGCCTGTTCCAGAGCTGAGTGGAGGTGAAAGAACTTCTCAAAAGGAGGCTGTGGCACTGTGACTCCCCAGTCTATTTGTTTCCCCTCTGCAGAGAATTCCTCTGCAGGAATTCTCTGCTCTGAATGACAGTCTTTGAGGACCCCAGAGATTATCTTTCTTTTTTTTTTTTTGTGTTTTTGAGACAGGATCTTGCTATGCAGTTCAGGCTGGCCTTGAGCTCACTTGGTAGTCCAGGCTGGTCTCGAACTCGCAACGATCCTCCTGCCTCAGCCTCCCGAGTGCTGGGATTACAGGCATGAGCCACCATGCCTGGCTTAGATTATCTTTCTTTTGCAGTTAGTATTAACGGTGCAGAATTGTGTAAAATGCTCATAGTTGGTTTTTGGGGTGGCTTTCTCTTATATTTAAAATCCAAACTACAGATCGTAGCAGTGGGAATTGACAGAGAGATGAGCAGGTTTTCATGGGCTGGTGATTCCTGTGTTTTCGGAACCCTCAACTCTGTTTCAGCAGCACTGCATTAACCTGCTATTGTGGTACCTTTGAAGGTTTCACTCACAGTTGCCAGGGCCTGGCAGGGATGAGTTGCCAGATGAGCTGTCTGGAGTCCTTTGGAAGCACTGAGGACCCAAGCTATAGTTGCTGTGACATTTGGCCCAGCTGTGCTAATTACTGCCCTCCAGAAATGGTCCACTGGGTTCTACCTGGGTCCTTTCTGATTTTTTGCAGTGCTGGAGTTGAAAGCCTGGCAAATGCTCTACCATTGAGCTACATACCACTACCCCAAGCATCCTTTTTGAAGACACCTCACAGTGCTCTCATGTTCAGTGAACACTTCTTTTGAAACAGGGTCTTGCTATGTAGTTCAAGCTAGATTTAAACTCACTGTAGCCTAGGTTGGTCTCAAACTCTCAAGAATTCTCTTGTCTCAGCCTTCTGAGTCCTGGGATTACAGGCAGGTGCCACCACTCCCAGCTCGGTAAACATTTTTTGTTTGGTCTTTTTGAGACAGGGTCTCGCTATGCAGTTCAGGCTGGCCTTGAGCTTACTTTGTATCCCAGACTGGTCTGGAACTTAAAAGGATCTTCCTGCCTCAGCCTCCTGAGTGCTGGGCTTACAGGTGTGCACCACCATGCCTGGCTTCAGTGAACATTTTCAACAGTAATTTATGTATAGTATTAATGGGGCTGTGGGGCAAAGATAGGAGTCTTGCTCTTAAAGTAAATTGAAGGCCTCGGGTAGATCATAGGGGAGGTGAAGCTTTACATTTTCAGGCTTTATTGTGAGCCTACTTTTTTACTAACCACTGGCTAGTGTCAAAGAAATATTGGCATCACCTGAACCCTCAGGAAGCTGTTACTGGAACCAGGAAAACAGTGTTGAGGTCTGGACCATCTTGAGGTGGGGGTTAGAGCTTGGAGAGAGGTCTGAAGGATTCATGGTGAGCTGCAGAAAGTACAGAAATAAGGGTAGAGCAGAGGGGGCCCCTGAGTGGAGTTGATACTGTGGGATGGATCCAACAGATCAATTCCAGGTTCTTGTGTACGAATAGGAAAGAATTGCCAGCATACACCCAGTAGTTAGTAGTAAGTAGCTGGAGGGGAAGGTAGTAACAGCTAGAGGAAAGGGGACAGTAACTCAGGACTTCAGAATTTAAAGGCCAGATATCTGCTTTTGGTGCCTCCTACGGAATCTTTCATGGAGCCTAAGACCTAGAGATCTCCTAGGCTTTTGTTATATTATTTTTCTCTCTCTTGGGATAAAAGTAGCAGGAATAATAATAGGTGCTGTTTACAGTAGTGGGAAGGGAGTGGCTCTTTTTGTTTCTAACTGTACTGCTGTCCCCTGAGAACCCTGGTCCCTGGAAATCTGTGAGGGGAATTGAGTTCCATCACTTCTGTATAGGGGCATTGGCCTCTGCCTACTTGGAGACCAAGAAACGCTTGCCCTGACTGATCTGTGAGTTCCTCTGAAGATTTCTTGAATGTGGACATGGAGACAAGTTCTGATCTTGAGTTACGGTCATCACCAGTAGTTTGATGGCTGTCAAACAAGAGGAAACAAATTTGATTAAGAGATTACGTATGTGAGATCTAGGGGCTGGCAGGGATTTAGCTCAGCGTCATAAGTGCCTGCCTTGCAAGCACGTGGTTGTGAACTTGATCCTTGGTACTGATTTAAAAAAAGAAAAGTATGTGAGATCTAAATAGTAAGGCTTTGAGAAGCATTAATAAAGGCTGTAATCCAGTACAGTAACCAAGACCCTCAATTCCAGATATTTGGCGAGGATATCCATAATTCAAATAGTTTTTTTCATAGATCTTGGAAGTCATTTTTTGTGTTGTGTCAGTTATTATTTTAAACCTATTGACAAAGGAAGTACATTCTTCTGGGACAAACACAGCCCCTTTGTTTTAGCTGTTAGGAGATCTAGTCCCCTCTGATGTGTGACCACGGCTACAAGTGTCAAAGGAAGGCAATACTTGGGCAAGTTCATCTAGGCTGTCTGTCAAGTTCTTAGGTGGCTGTTGATAGGAGAAAAATGTGGTTAACTTCAAGGTCTCATGTAGGCAGTCATTGTTGACTCTGTTAGAGGCAGTTTTTGAATAATCCAGGATGACCCCAAAAGAA